ATAAATACTCGTACAGTATTGTCCAGTCTAAAATATAAAAATAATGAAAGCAGCTCAGTTGTCTGTTGTTTCGTCACGTTGGAAAAACAAAATGTCGAGTAGAAGAAGAGAAATGATGTAGAATTCAAACACGTGACGTGAGTTCTCGCTCCTCGACTTCGCCGCCTGTGAGTCTGCAGGAAGGACGTGTGGATTCAGCTCATGTAAAGTCCGTGCTGCGGAGCGGCCGTGCCTGAGGGGGTCGCGACCCCATCCCTGCTGCCTCCTCCCATCATCTCAACTGGGTGGATTAAATCGCCCCTCCACCGCCACCCGAAGGCCCCTTGAGCCTGTTGACCGCTCAGATTTAATCTACCCCGCCCAGAGATTCATCTCTATCACTTGTTAAATGTCCAATTATTCTTTTTAATTTTTTAACCCTTTGCAAAGACGACACCCCCCCCCCCTGATTTTGTTGCTCTTTCAGGAGAGGTCGTTGACTTGATGCTGGAATTCAAAGAAGGATTCCCTCCTTTCTTTATTTCTTTACGTGTGTGTTGTTTGATTTATTTGACTCCTCATCCACGTCACTCTCTCTCAGTCCACGTCACATGCTCACATGGCTCATGGCTCGTCTGCAGAGGGAGCTGGATATCAGAGACAGATCATCAGGGTGCAGCTTCGGAGGAATTCAGTTTGTCTCTCTGCTGACACAGTCTGAGAATGTAGCATCGCTCCACCTGATATGCTTTAGCAACCTCCCGAATAAAAGATGTCACACACGTCAATCCAAAAACACTTCATTTCTCTCAACCCTTCATCTTAGAGAGATTTAATTTTGTTTTCACCGGGACACACACACAAATACTCTCGGTCATTTAGGAACCTGAGAGCAGCCAGAGTGCAAACACCTCTGCCGATTCATCAAGATACCTGATCTATTCTCTGAGACATCAACAACAACATGTTAAACATGTTTAACTCACAATGTAAAAGTCCAGATCCTCACGATTTAACGAGTCCCTCCCTGACCCATATTTCGTTCTTCCAGTTTTGTTGTTTTCCATCCAGTAGTTTTTGCGTAATTCTGCTAAAAGACAAACAAACGCAAATGAAAACATGACGCACTTAGTGGACGTTATTATACTAAATATTTCAGGCCTTTTAAAGATCATCACATCTAGTGTTCCTAAATGTCACAGTATAGTTTTATAAATTAAAAAGTTTATTTAAAATATATCACACCCATAAAATTTGATATTTAAAAGTAAAAAATTAACAAGATATCATCTGTATGGAAGCATATTGTATTCACTTGGGAAAAAAAAAATTTTTGGTTTGTTTTTCTGAAATTTTTTTGTTTTTTCAGTTTTTCTGAGTAATTTTTTTTCTGTTTTTCAGACAATTTTTTTTTTTTTCTTCCTTTTTTTCGGGCAAATCATTTTTTTTTTTTTTCGTTTTTCTGACATTTTTTTTTCTTTTTTCCTGTTTTTCGGACAATTTTTTTTTTCAGTTTCAGACCAATTTTTTTTCTGAGTTTAGAGAGCATTTGAAACAAAAGGCGCGTTCATTCGATGTAATGGAAACAAATATGATCGGCTTGTTTGGTTTAATCAAGCTTGTCTATTTTTATTATAAACCGCCACATGGTGGCGCTATCTGCACTTAAAAAACGTCCTTCCTCTCCTCACCACAAATTCTTACACCGATTCTGAAACTTGCCAGGAATAAAACACGTTTGAGACATCAGCGTCTTCTAAGACTTATTTCCACATCCCATGACCACCTCATCTTCTTCTTCTACGCACACGTCGCCATTCAGACAAAATCCTGTCGTCCTGGTCATCCATCTCATTCCAGACCAGTCTGCTAAAGCGATATCGTTCACAAACCAGACTGATGGTTCCTCCTCCGAGCGCACCATAAGCAGTATGACCCCTCCCCCACATACTGCCACATTCAGCACTTCCTGAGCAAAATGGCCTTCACTTACTAAAACAACTCTTTGTTTTTGTTATGCTGTTTTGGTCTGAACCTCAGTAGTCGCCTCAGTGGCGTTGACGGCGTTGTGTTTCTGGGGCTGAACGGCCCACGAAGCTGTGTGTTTGGGGGAACAGCAGAGAAGCAGGTGAGGCCAGTCCGACACTGACCTCCGTGACCCCGCACTAAAACCCCTCCCACCCACGACCCCCTGCATCATCACCAAAACGACCCGACGCGAGATGGGCTCGCCTCTTTCTCTCCTGTCCTCGTAGTAGGCGAATGTGTTTGAGGTGAATCAGCCCAAACTGGAAGAAACATGCAGCTTTGCCACAGAAACAAGCCGACGTAGGAAAAACAAATCCTGTCGACGTTGAACAGGTGCGAGGAGTAAATCAAATATGGAGAATTTAAACGGCCTCCATGCATCTGGGAATCACGCAACAAATTAAATTTGGCGGAAATGTTTGCTTTACTCCGATCAGCACCTTTCAAGTTTTACAATGTGTGAAATGTGTCTTCAGCTGTCACACGAGTTCATCATTGTCTGATCGAGGTTTCCGAGTTTCACATTTTCATCCATTTTAACGGCAGACGACAGAACTAACTCTCTGGTTTTGGATTTCATGACACGTTAGAGAAGATCTGCTTCCGTCTCTGTTTGCTTTTGTATTTTTTTGTTTTTTTTCAGCTTCCTGCATGCTCTTTAAATCAAAGGCCTAACACGGCCATGTGCACATTTCTTCTAACACCTGATTGGCTGCGCTGCGTAGACAGGTTTTGGTGTCGTAGGCTCTCCACTAGCCCGCCTTGCTTTTTCAGCTCACAGAGTCATGTCAGTCGTTTGGTGCCATCGCTGATCTGTGTGCTTCCATAATGTTGGGCTGCATGATTTAGCTCCGCGTCATGAGTCTGTAGCAGCTCTAGAGTGATAGAAGTGAAAATGGTCTTTTTTTTTTTTTACAAGATTAAAAAAGATTTGGAGAAATTAAATCAAATGAAAACCCCCAAATTTGGACATATGAGGTTTTTCCACCATGTCCGATCAGTCTCGCACAAGTCATATCTCTAGTTTTGGGGGATTTCTTGTGTTTCAGATCAGTTGAAGTTTCTCTATAGGTTGAAACGATCTAAAATTATGTCAGAAACTCAAGTTAGGAGATTTCAAATTGTGACGAGCTGTTTTGATGATGCACAATCTGAATCTGCAGAGTAACGGCAGCTCCATTATGTGAAACATCTGCAACAGGCTTCCATAGCAAGAGCTGAAAACACATTTTTCCACCGGTTACTTTACAAACGTGCAGATCTAACGCTCTGTGTGTGTGTGTGTGTGTCTGTGTGTCTTTTGCGTGCGCGTCTCCAGGCTCGACCCACATCTTCACCCCCACCAGCCTCCTGGAGCAGCTCAAGGCCATGAACAAACCAGACGAGGAAGTGACGAGCTAAAAATCCTCCAATCACATCTCTCTCTCCCCCTTAACCCACCCACCCCCGCCCTCACCCATCTTACCGCCAACTGCCGCCACCCCCACCCCCCCGACCCGATCCATTAACTGTGTATGCATCTTGCTTGAAAAGAAGAAAAACAAAAAAGACATCTCAGATGATAAAAAAATATATGTTGTATCAAAGAATAAAATCGTTGCAAGTATTCTCATGTTTTACAATGGATGCAACTAAATAGACTTATTTAAAAAGGTTTAAATATCAGAGGAGAAGGCCATTTTAAACGGAAAGTACCAAATGTAATAACCGTGTGCTATGATACCTGCTAGAATGTGTAAGAGGTGGACGTTTTCTCTGGTTCTTTCCTTTGGATTTCTCCTCAGCGTGAGTTTTATCAGAAGCAGGTGGAGGAGGGATGTGACGTTTGGGAGGTCGATGTTGTAAAAACACAAATATCATATCAGTCGACATGCAATATATATAAAATACATATATTTCATCGGAGAGGAGCCCCACCTCGCTCATTTGAGATGTGCATATTCAGTAGCATGCTTGGACTTGTGTGGACTGTCGATGTGTTTGTATCCGGTGTGGATGTTCTGAAGCTGCAGAGTTTAGCGTTTAGCTTTTTTCCAAAGATGCTGAGCTGGAGTCCTCCACAGAAAACCTTTTGTTTTGAGTATGAAACGGAATCACTGAAACTTTTCAAAAACCATCGTCCACTACTCATCCGCTTCCTGTAAATAGTAAAAACTACAGTGAATTGAATTCATCGTGTTCTTTAAATGTATCTGCTGTTACCGGTGACTCTTTTAATGAGTTAATTCAAGAGTTCCAGTAATGCAGATACATTGAGATATCATGTTCAAAAGGCCCAAAACATGTTTCGACTTTGACCTTTGACCTCCAAAATCTAATGGGTCAACCCTTGGGTCAGACTGAACACGTGTGCCAAATTTGAAAAGATTCCCTCAAGCTGATCTTAAGATATCACATTCACAAGGCAATAAACAAACTTTGCGAAGTGATCTTGACCAGCAAAATCAGATCACTTCACCCACGACTCTTAATAAATGTTTGTGCCAAATTTAAAGAAGTTCTCTAAAGGCAGACTGGAGACGTACTTCGGCACAAGGAACAAACAAAATTTGACCTTTTTCCGCCTCATTTTTGAGTCTGGTGCGTGTTTGATACTCAAAACAAAGTTAAAGTTTGGTTTAAAAACTTTGTGGAGCAGAAGAAGAAAAGAGAAAGAGCTCAGTTAGAAAATAAAAAAAAAAGAATCATCCCTCCTCCCGCTGCCGAGACTGTGAAATATTTACCCTCCACAACCTTCTTTCCTTTCTCCGGAGAAACTTCATGTTTTAATGTCTAAGGGCCGTTGCTTGCTGTTATATAAAGAATAATGTTAAAAAGGGCCAGTTGTATTTCAGTATTGTATCCTGTCAGATTAAGTCTTATCATTGGTTCGTAACGATGTTGGGCCATGCACTGAGTCGTGTTGTGTATTTGCCATATGTTGCTGTTTTAGCGTCTCACTGTTGACTGGTGATCTTTCTGACTGTGAAGTAGTGATTCCTTTTCCTTTTTGAAAATGCCGATGTGAAGCCGCCGTGTTTGTGACGTTTTAGCTGTAGCTGTTAGTGGTCAGCTGGGAAAATGAAATACTATCTATATTTTCTTTGTCCGTTTCTTCCTGGTGCAATGTAAAAACCCCTCAGTGATGAATGGCTTTAAAAAGATGAAACATAACGACTGAACTTTGAACTTTTCCCCTTTTTTCCCGGCCAAACAACTTGTATATTGCACTACTGCGTTTTCTGTGATGCAAGCGCTTGATTTTGTGTTTGTTTCTTTTAATCTGCTGTTGTTGAGGCTTTACTTTGTTGAATAAATTGATTTTCAGAGGAAGAAAACATTAAATGAAACACTAGTCCGTCCTGAAACTGTTTTAACTTATTGGGATTGTTTGTTTGCAAGTGTTGAAGCACAAACAATACTTCCATGTGTACCTAGTATGTACTACGGCTGTCTAATAAATTGGCTTCCATTCTATTGAAGACTTGGATCATGTTTTTGAGTAACAGCAGTAATAACAGTGGTTTTTCCATTTGTTCAAGAGTAATTTACACTGTTAGATGTTAAACAGCTACTGTCAGTTCACCTTTTACTGAGAAAAACTAGAAATACTACACGATACTATTTATTATTAACTGTATTTTTCCAGATTTAATATAAGGTCACTGTGACCTTTTGCTGCCAAAATCGAATCAGTTAATCCTTGAGTTTAAGTGAATGTTACTACCAAATGTAAAAGGTTTCCCTCATGGCTTTCCAGAGATATTGCGTTCACAAGTCAAATTGTGCTTTGTTAGGTCACAGTGGCTTTGACCTTTGACTACCAAAATCCAATTAGTTCTTTGAGACCGACTGAATGTTTGTACCAAATTTAGTGAAATCCCTTCATGGCGTTCTCGAGATATCACCTTCACAAGAGTAGGACAGCTGGACGGACGAACGTCTTTAAAAATCCATATGATCAGAGACGTTTTCAGACCGATCTACAGTTCTGCATCATTTTAGAAAATCGTGACGAACACACGCCAGCACCTGTTCTGAAATAAATATGTCTGATCAAATAGATTCACGTTTGAGATTTCAATGTTTCCGCAAATAATTTTAAAAACAAAGAAGCTTCAACAAAATTCTCTCTAAAGGCTGAAACCAAAGAGAATTCAGATAATTAATTAGATAATTTAGATTATTATTTTTATTCACTTCTTTGCATCTGAAACCAGTCGAGAGAGATATTGTTGCTCAGTCTTTGCGCTGACAGCAGCCCTGAAGCCAGAGGGTTCATGTCCCAACATACTCTGATGGCTTTGTCCAGAGAGACGTCCAGATCTTTGTATCCAGGGAGTCCCTCACATCAACAAACCCGTAGAGTCTCCCCCTCGCCTCCTTGTGACCTCTGACCCATGAGGATGTGCCAGTTGTGTTGCGAGGAAGCACGTGGACGGGCTGTGAGGACATACTGAAAGAAAGATGGCCGACAGAAAACTCTATTAGTGACAGTTTGGGTGAGAAACTAAATTATCTAAGCAAAGTTATGTTTTCATAGAAATCTTTTCCACGTGTTTACAAGTGCAACATACAGAGAGATACTAGAAACAGTGGAGTTTCATCTGCATAAACTATGACCTTTAACCTTTGACCACTGAAATCTAAACAGGTCGGGGTCCAAGTGAAGGTTTGAACTAAACCTGAAGACGATTCTCCACGAAGCTGATCTTTTTATATCACGTTCAAGAAAAAAAAAAGTCACTGTGACTTTGACAATCAAAATCAAATTATTCGTGAGTTTTCTTATTCCACAGGCGATGCATTCTCTACTAACTGTGAGTGTGTGTGTTACTTACAGAGGTGGCAGGCCAACCAGCATGCACTGGGGCCGTGCAGGAGGGGCTGCGTTGTTTCCTCTCCTCGCCGCTCTGTCCGGGGACTCGGCTGATTGGCGGCTTGTGCGTCGAGCGGAGTCTCTGTGAGAGTCTGTGAGTCACAGCAGGTCAGAGGCTCCGTTAGCACTTTAGATAATTCAGCTTATTTCTTTTACTGCAAACTGAAATAATTTCGGTGCCGAGCTCAGCGACTAATGAATTTTGCTCCTGATGCTGACCAACAAATTCACATTTTGCCAAGTCACAGATTAATGACATCATTAACCACACACACACACACACACACACACACACACACACACACACACATTAGAACTCATTCTCTCATAATGTGTGTGAACTGAATAACATCGGACAAACCTGTCTTAGTGCCTCTGTTCGGCTGAGGACATCTACTGAGAGGACAGTGACAGGAGCAGGAGGAGGGGGAGGAGGGGGAGGAGGGGGAGGAGGAGGAGGAGGAGGAGGAGGGGGTCGACTCGCTGCTGCCACCAGCTGGACCTGACGGGATAAGGCGAAGATGACAAGGAGAAGAAACTGATCAAGCAGGATGATAAATGAGGACTTAACACTGGTCTCAGATTAATTACAATTGCTGGACGCTGAGTCTAGAATAAATAAATATTTGTAGCTATGAATTCACTTATTCATTATTCTGTATTATTTCTGTGCATATGTATGGAAATACAATAGTGTCTCATACATTTTTGTAATAAAAGAGGATTAATAAAATAAACGCTACTTGAGAAAGGCCTTATTAATGATTTCATTGTTATCAAAGAAAGAAGCACATGTGCTTTAATTCAAAGTGTTTTTACAGTTAACAGCATGTCTCAAAAACAACACCACTCTGTGTGATGACAGAACTTAGACTCACTGCTGTCACTCTCCACTGTCTGACTGACCCAGCGCTGTGGGGAGCAGGAGTAGGTGCATCTCCTCTGTCTGCAAGAACAAATATTCAAACACAAAAATACGGAAAACATAAAAATCACTGATGAGGTAAATAGTGATAAGGACGATTATATACAAGTAATGAGCAGCACATGAGGTAAACTTTGTGGGGCAGYAAATGTGTGTATGTGGAGACCTCCTCACCTCAGTGACGCCCTCTGGTGGAGAGGACTGGGACTCAGACGGAAGCTCTCTGAACCAATAAACCCACTGTCCGTCTCTGGAGAGATGATACCATCCTGCTCAACACAGAAGAAACATTGAACAACATTTATCTATACAGAAATACTGTTTTATAAATCAACATTAATCTTTTTTAACAAATCTCTGGCTCCTGTTTTGTACATGAAATAAAACTATGGCTTGTATACTGATTTCAAAAAGGAAAATCAAACAGAAAATATTGTGTATATCTGAGGCGTAGACTGCATATATGAATTACATAAGAGAAACATTGAGGTACTGTCTCGCCTGACCTGGAAATGTATGATATAAACTGACCTGAGAAAGTGTTCTGCTGCTCCCAGGTTGGAGTTTGGAGTTCCTCCTCTCTGATGCAGGAGTCTCTCCAAGGCTGCTCAAGCTGCTRCTGTGAAACTTCCCTCTCTCTAACCCCCTGTGGCCACTGGGCGGATGAACTTGGAGCGAGGTGGACGGACTCGAGGCTGCATGTGAAGATGGACTGGACCTGCTGCTCCGCTGTGTGCTGATGCCAACAGGAGATTCCTGATAGTGTGGTTCTGAGTTCCTGTCAACACAGAAATACAGAAAATCCTATTCAGTATGTATGAATGTGTTATTTCTATGTATTTTATGTACGTCTCACTGCTTCTTTTAGCAGAGGGGATTATTTTACCATTAAAGATGTACACATCTTGCCCTATGTTCTAAAATGGCCTCCCTACGTTGCCCTATACAAGATCAAATGTGCCTGATGACTAACCTCTGTACATACATGTTTCCAATCATCTGTCTCTCTGTCTCATCGTCACCAGGCTGCTCGTGGCTTCCTAAACCAGCAGAGAGGAGAGCTTCGTCCCTGAGTTTATATTCAAATGTTCTGGGAAGTTCCTGGAAGCTTCCATAACTGAAGAGAAAAAGAGAAAAAAATAATCAGGGTGAAAAAACAAATGTTTCCAGGCAGAGCTCTTCTTATTTTGTATGAATATCCCCAAACATTAATAACAATCCCTCCATAGAAAAGAGACTGATGGTTTGATGGTGATGAAGAGAACATACAACATAAGAAAACAGAAACATCATCACTCACTGATCAGTTAGTGCAGCAAAGTCTTGTTCAACATGTCTGTGTTTGCCAGTCAGAGGTTTGAGATACAGAGAATCCAAAGGTTCTTCGTCGTCCGTCTCTGCCTCCTCATCGTCACTCTCTTCACTGGCTGGGCTCACCTCCCTCTCTGCTGCTCTTCCTGGATCCACCAGCAGAGGCATTGTTGGGCTCTGGAAGGAAATGAAGCATCAAAAGTCAAAAGATGTGATATCACAGCAGGATGATTAATGACCTGCACTTACACATGAATATCAATCAAATACATCATTTACATCAGCATCACTTCCAGGATTAGGGGAAACTAAATACATTTTCTATGATTCCTTTGATTTGTGATTTAGGACTTTTCTTATTTCTATAATTATTTGATCAATAAAACAAAGAAAATGGTGAGATTGATCCATCACCATTTCCAAGGTCATGTCTTCAAATTACTTTTCCAAACCACAAAGCCAAAAATACAGTTAACTTAAAAAAACGTTTCACCACAATCCAGCACCCCTCACTTCTAAAGACTTAACTTGTCAGTAAGAGTAGATTCAAAATGCAAGATCCACCACTACCTTACATGAATAATATCAGAAGAAGAAGAAACACTACATGCTAATAGTTAAACAATGTGGAGAGGTGTCTCTGTGGTATGACAGATTTTCTGTGCCGTTGCATGCACACAATGGAATAACGGTGGTGGTACCTGTGGGAGACTCAGAATTTCTCCTCCTTCTGAGCTAACAGATGGAGGGGTGGGTTGAGGAGGTGGGGAGGGAGGAGCCTCACAGGTGGGCTGTTCCWGTCGCATCTGTTCTACCTGCTCCTTCAGCTCCTCCAAATGCTGTTCACACCGGAAGATCAGCCCTTCCAGCTCTCTGATGCACACCAACACAAACATGTAAACACATACAATAAAAATAACAAATAYATGTATTTATATCTTGGACATAAAGCTTACCGTCCATGGTCAAAGTGGCCGACGTCTTTTCCACTCAGCTGCATGAGTTTGTGCTCGTCCCTCGCAAATATGTAGCCCCTTTCTAAAGAGTTGAACCCTTCATTAAGCTGTGAGAGACCCTGAAGGACAGAATTAGTTCATGAGTTTAAAGTTATTMATCTAAATGATTACAGATTTAAACTGATTGTAGGTCTTACCTTCATCTGTTCAGAAGGTTTGAGCTTTTTTCTCTTCAGGAGATCCTCAAAGTTCTGCAGCTGAATGAAAAAACACAGAAACCCACATCTCTGATTATTTTCCTTAAACATCACATCATCTAGAAAATGTGTAAATTGTTATTTCTAATCCCTCTTTACAGCGTTAACGTCTTACTCACCTGCTGGAGGAAGCTGTCAGTCTGAGTGTAGAGAATCCTGGCCATCTGTTCTCCCACATCAGGGCCTGTTCATTTGACAGGTAAAGAAGAGTTATATGATGCAAGTTTCACAGAACGACACAACGTTAGCAGCAGCTGAATGATGGATGGAAGCCAGGTTGTTTGCAGGTTGATTAAAATGTTCAGTGACAGTATTTAATGATAGAGCGATAAATCAGAGGAGCATTGTGGGTAGGTGGATGCTGAAGACAGAGAACATACTTGGAGGAGGAGAACCTGAGTTGATCTCTGCTCTCTGAGCCCGAGGAAAGTCCAGGGTCGTGACCTTTGAGGAGTCGTGGCTCAGTCGTGACTGCAACGAGTGGGGCTTTGGAGGCTCATAGTACAGGTTCAACTGGTGGAACCATGAAACATTAGAACACACCTAAATATACTGTACATGATCGACATCAACTAGAATTATAAGCCCACCTAGTTATAGCTTCAATTGATAGATACATAAAAAACAAACAACATATGAATGCTAAAGCTCCATTTAAAACTGAAGCTCACAAGCCACAGGATGTTAAAATAGCTCTGACCACAATATAAACACACAGAGACACTGTTCGTTGGTTTTGTGTCACTGTGACCTTGGTTATATTTGGAAGATAAAACTGTACAGACTATAGAAGAGCACCCTTTTCTCCCCAGAGAATCTTTTTGCTGTTTATTTGTGCAGCCAAAGTTTGCACCTAAAACAGGCTCTCCGGCATTTATGAAAAATATAAGAACATGAAATAAACTGTTTAAATATACAAATGAGTCTTCAAATATATGAAAACTAAAGATAATAGTGTCTTCACTGTTGCTGTACCTTTAGTGAATGAAAGTGCCAATAATGATTCCGTCATCTCTTTTCCTTGATTAAATCATATTTGAAGAACATAACTATACATATTTCGGACTTTCTCATAACTAACTAAACCAAAGATAAACAAGTTTTTGAATTGATATGCTGCTTTCTTTAAATCCCTGGCGGTGACCCTGACTGCACGGCACTAAACTGTGATAAATGAAATGGCCTGATCTCTACATCAACTACCTTCAGACGCAGTTGATCAATAGTGTTGTTCGCCTTGCTGTACTTAATCAGCAGTCTGTTGTATTTCTCCTGCAGCAAGAGGGAAAGGGAGGATATAAGAGGGGAAGAGAATGAAAAAGGAAAGAGAACAGAATTGGTTAAAAATGACAGACAGAGATAATCGATCATGGTTTAGGTCTAATTCATGAATCTGACAAAGTGTTGAGGAAGAAACGTTTGTGGACACCCCTATCATTCTCAACCCTGAGATCTGTAACTGGAGCAGGAGAGAATAGAGCGCAAGAATAGTGTAGACTAAAACTGAAATCTGGTTACCATGGTTACCATGTTTAGTTGATGTTCCTTCCTCAAAATGTCTAAGAAACCACATCATGTGAATCCGTTCAGTAAACAACATAAAACACACCTTGAAGTATATTATAATTGTTGTGTCTTCTTTGCTGTGCACATGATGTCTAGTTGTTTTCTGCGGTGTTGCTAAAGCCAAAGGGAGGATGTAATGTGTGACAGTTTATTGCCGCTTCTGGGAACGAAGGACAACAGTGATTTGGTTGCGAGCGTCTTATGAGACTTTGTTTAAAAAAACAAGGACTCATTTTGAAACTTCCAAAGTGAAATTTATTTTAGAAACTTTCCTTTAACTTGTTTGTCAGTATCACTGGGATTTATGGAAGACTTATTACATAATAGTGAGACGCAGGATTTGTTACTGTGTTGTCATGGCTGTCTTTACATCTTGACCTAGTCCCTGGATAATAGGGGGGAGGATAAGTGGGAGACTTAATGTTTGACATCAATAAATGTGCCTCTGTAAGTACACAAATTAAAATATCTAAGAGCTGTGGGCCTGTGCGATCATGTTAAGAAGAAGGCTAGCGCTGGTGCAACACCATGGTCAGTACCTGTAGCTGCTCGACCAGTGAGATGGCCTGCTGTCGCATGTTGGAGTTCTGGGCACTGATTCGGTCAGATGGGTCAGGGGATCTGTCAGGGGAGTTCAGTAGTACTTCCCTCACAATGTCAGCAGGAGTCATGTTCATTATGCGGAACTGGTTGGACAGGGATTCCTTGTTGCAGGGGGTTTTGTTCACGGGGGGCTTATACTGGAGACGGACCCTGGGTTCTACCTTAGTCCGAATCATGTTTCTGTAAATAAAACAAAATTGTGAGCGACACAAGATTATGCTGATCTGATCCACTCAGTATCTTCTTTGTCACCTTATTAATATTCAAAGTATTCACTAAATGTCTTGTATTTGATTACCACAAATTATTATTTTCCCTTTTCCCTGTTAGCTAGCTAGCTTCTTTTCTGGCCACCTAACCATAGCTAAATCAACAAAATAAAACATGGAACAGTATATACTTAAAAGACTTAAATATATGCAATTGAAATTTGCTTTTGATTTTCTTTATCCAGAGTGTTAGTATGGCTAGTCACAATCATTTCAGACTTACTGTTGAAATTGTTATAAAGATGCTGCAGGAAGACAAGGAATATTAGTAGCCAATTCTCTGTCTTGATTCTGAGTCTGAAAATCGCTGATGCTGAAGACTTAGACTTTGTTGCACTGAATCAAGCTGGCTTTGTATCCAGCTCACTTAAAAGCAGAAGGCTCCTTTGATTACATCAAAGTCAAAAACCTCAGTTTCTGTCTCTGAGATCAAAGCCTGAATTAAAAATCACTGTTGATAAATATAAGCTGAAGAAGCCCACTTGTTGCTTGGTTTATGCTCTCTTTTCATTAGTGGGGGAACTAAGGATTTATCTCGGCTGAAGAGAAAGCAGGAGAGACAAGGAAAGAGGGCCAGGCTCTTAAGTCATTCTCAGGTTAACCAAAGCTGTTGTTGGGGCTACAACCGTTTGCAGTAGGTGAACTAATAAGGCTATAAAGATGAGAAAGGCCTTAGCTTAGCATCAAGCTGCAGCTGGTAGGTGTCCGAGTTGGACCGATAACCAGTGATTGAATACACCATTAAAATCCACTAAGGCAGTATGACACCATTAGATTCGGGACAAATCAGAAGCTTTGAACTAGAAAGGAGGTGGGGAAAGCCATCTCCAAATGTGACAGGCTTCCCTCAAGGTTTTCTGGTAGATATAGTGTCCAAGTACAAGAATGGGACGGACGGATGAAAAAATCTACTAAAGCATCAAAAATGTTAAAAAAGTAAAATTTTTAATATTTGCACATAGAAATAAGAAAAAATGGTTCAAAAGTGAAATAGGATTAGACACTAACAAACACAGTAATAAATAATAAAATATCCATCCGATCTGTGGTGTTTCAAATCTTAGGCATGATTTTAAAACAAAAGACAAAATCACAAACATTGTGTTATTTTTCTTTTTACTTTTCCTCATTAGAGAGATTTAAAAAGTTTCCCTGCAAAAATATTTTAAAAATCATTTAACAGTACAAAAGTAAAAAAGGATTAAACACTAACAAACACAGACGCTACTTAAAACATATCTGTGGCATGTTTAAACCAAATATAATTATTTTATCAGTAGAAATAATCTTATGCTCGTTTGTATTCTCTTCAGTGCAGTGCTGGAATGTGAAGTTCAGTTACAGGAGACTCTGGCACATGTGTATTTTCAAGACTAAGACTTAAATGATGTACAGAATAAAAAATATTTAAACAGCAACATAGAAAAATAACTTCCCGAGGATATCCAGCATCTGAGGTTTCATGACTACAGATTTCTATTCACTACATTTTAAAGACTAAGCGATGATCAAGTTTTTCAGAGTTTCTGGTGTGAACATATAAATTTGGTTCGATGACAAAGTGCATTTCTTTTACGGAACATGTTATATTCACTAGTTAAAGGTTTACACAACTACGAAACTATTTGTTTCTACTGACTAGAAATAAACAGTCACATGATAATTAAATATAAAATCACATGACCAACAACAAGTATTAACTCATGGCAATCATGTGAAGACATTTTAATTTCTCATGTCAGGTGAATAAAGAACAAACTAATATTTTTAAAAATCAATATGATCAGAGACGTTTTCAGACCGATCTACAGTTCTGCATCATTTTAGAAAATCGTGACGAACATATGCCAGCACCTGTTCTGAAATAAATATGTCTGATCAAATAAATTCACGTTTGAGATTTCAATGTTTCCATAAATTATTTTAAAAACAAAGAAGCTTCAACAAATTCTCTCTAAAGGTTGAAACCGAGGAGAATTCACAAAGAAGAAGAGTTTAGATTCTTTTTGATTTTTCTTCACTGAAGTCCTTCAGTCAGCGCTCGTGTCTCTGCAGCTGAACCCAGTCTAGTGAGTTATCGTTGATCTGCGTCTGCAGAACTGAGTCAGCTGTCTCTGGAACTGCAGCCCTGAAGCCAGAGAGCCAGCCATGTGTTTGGAGGTCTGGTTCATGTCTCGAGCAACTCTGATGGCTCTGTCCAGAGAGACGTCCAGGTCGCTCTGCACATCGAGAAACCTGGAGCGTCTCGTCCTCCCCTTCGCCCTCTTGTGACCTCTGACCCCTGAGGATGTACCTGTGCTGTTGCTAGGAGACACGTGGACGGGCTGTGAGGGCATACTGAAAGAGAGATGGCCGACAGAAGAGAAACAAAGATTAACTAAATTAACTAAACAATGTTATGTTTTCATAGAAATCTTTTCCAGGTGCAACATAACACTACAATAACAACTAGTTTCTGGCAAAAAATGACATCACCAGCACAATATCAGGGATATTTTAGCTTAATTTTTGGACAACATCATCTTTCTTAATTTACAGGCTGTGATTAAGAAATATGTGCATTTACTTCTCTACTAACTGTGAGTGTGTGTGTTACTTACAAAAGTGGCAGGCCAACCAGCATGCACTGCGGTGATGCAGGAGGAGCTGCGTTGTTTCCTCTCCTTGCCGCTCTGTCCGGGGACTCGGCTGATTGGCAGCTTGTGCGTCGAGCGGAGACCCTGTGAGAGTCTGTGAGTCACAGCAGGTCAGAGGCTCCGTTAGCACTTTAGATAATTCAACTTATTTCTTTTACTGCAAACTGAAATAATTTAGGTGCCGAGCTCAGCGACTAATGAATTTTGCTCCTGATGCTGACCAACAAATTCAAAGATTAATGACATCATTAACCACACACACACACATTAAAACTCATTCTCTCACAATGTGTGTGAACTGAATCACATCAGACAAACCTGTCTTAGTGCCTCTGTTCTGCTGAGGACATCTACTGAGAGGACAGTGACAGGAGCAGGGGGAGGGGGAGGGGGTCGACTCGCTGCTGCCACCAGCTGGACCTGCCGGGACAAGATGAAGACGAAGCCAGATGATAAATGAGGACTTAAAGACTGGTTTAAAATTAATCACAAAATAAAGCTGGATTTTTTTTAACTCTTAGTAAGAACGTGACATTACAGGTTAAAACACACGCAAGGTTTCTTACGGGCAGATCGTCCTCGGAGACGTGACAAACATTTGACACAGAGAACAGGAGGTTGATGATTTCTGCTGTCAGGTTCATCTGCTGTGTTTGACACTTGAATAGACTCGGCTGGACGCTGCCCTGCAAAACATATATAAAAATATACAAACTTGTTCCTGCAGGTTCTGATCTTAAACACATTAACATTTAATATAACAACATATATTTACCTGGGTTTCTAGTAAAGTCTAGAATAAGTAAACATTTGTAGCTATGAATTCACAAGCATTACTTTGTATCATTTCTGTTGGGACCCAATATTTGTGAACAATAGTTGGGCCTACATGTGAAGCCAAAGCCTGATCACATTCTTTGTTCTGGAGACAACCTCTACACTGTCAAGAACTCCATATCCTTCAAACACTACTGACGTGATAATATTAGTTATTAATTTAATACTTCCAGTAGACTAAATTAATTATTTTAATAAATTATTTTTCTGATAAATAATAAATAATCAAATAAAAAATAATAAAAAATCATCTCATACATTTTGGGACTGAGACTGTTTCTATAAGCAATAGCATTGTATTTTAATTCCACAATATTTTTTTGATTCCTGAGTGGACTCTTCAGGTGAAACCGTGCAGGGACAGTTGTTCTTACTGGGGTGGGTTTTATTGCTCTGGACACTATTTGTGTGTGAGCAGCAGCTTCCTGGTGCTGCAGAGGACGTTTGAGTGCATCTGGATATCCGAGGCTGAGGCTGCGATGTCAAGGGCTCCGGATATGAACCTGTAACTGAAATCAAAAATACAACATGTATTAGTGTGGTCGCTTCACTGATGGACACACAGTACACGTGCTATTAGCATTTCAAGTTATGCGTAAAGTGTAAACTTGCAGATGTCACTTGGTTGTCGTCTGTCCACACAGGGTGATCTCTCTCTGGCCATTCGTCTCAGTGTACACTCCTCCACATCATCAGCCATTCGTCTTTCTCTTCTTCCCCTGCTGACGTTACTGTGACATCTCTCCTCAGGCCTGAGCAAAGAGCGGGAATCAAATTAAGAACAAACCAACATGAAACAGTAAGCACAGGACGAGGTGGTTCAGTAGCAAATTGCAAAAACTTTTCCCTGCAGGCTTCCATGGTTAAAATCTCTACAGCATCATTTCAAGACAAACTGTTATTGGTAGATTATGTGGCTTCAAAAATGTACAGAGACGAGTCTGGAGTGGCCTGGCCGGTGTTTCTGTACAACGAGAGATTGTGGCTACACATGGAAGATAAAAACCAACCTGCTGCAAGGTGTGGACGTGTAGAGGTGTGTGTGATTCTCTTGAACTGATGCAGCTGCTCTCACAGGGCTCAGAGTTTTCTTATTCCACAGGCGATGCATTCCCTCCTCCAGTCTGGTGACTTTAGCCTCCAGAGTCCTAAATGCATCGCTAAAAAATGCACACACAAAAATAGACACAAAACTGACTTTGAAAGGAAATGATACAGTTGTTGGTAACTTTACGCTTCAGTTCATATGGTTTTCTTCTTCATCACCACACATATTAGAGGTCAAACACTTTCAAACCCAGAGAATACGAGTACTGAAGTGACCAGCAGGTGAGTCAGGCAGAAATCACCATAAGTGTGATTAATATCGACATGTTGAGTTTTTATTGTAGCGTTCAGTGCTCATACTGTGGACACTCTCCCGTCAAGGAATCATAAACCTGACACTGTGTACACAGCAATTACCATGGACACTGCTGCCACACACACACACAAACACCTACTTGTGATTCGTCACTACTCTGGGTCCCAGAGCTCTGAGAGAATTGCCATGGTGACGCGGTGCAGTGGGGGAGGAGCTGGAGCTGAGGGAACTGATGGATTCTGCGAACTGGTCACTATGTCCGTCTTCAGACACTGTGTGAGCTGCGGAGACGAAGAGGACGGCACGTTTAATACACAGAGAAAAATAAACGCTACTTGAGAAAGGCCTTATTAATGATTTCATTGTTATAAAAGAGAGAAGCACATGTGCTTTAATTCAAAGTGTTTTTACAGTTAACAGCATGTCTCAAAAACAACACCACTCTGTGTGATGACAGAACTTAGACTCACTGCTGTCACTCTCCAGTCTGGCTCCACTGTCGGCTATGCTTCTTTCTGTCTGACTGACCCAGCGCTGTGGGGAGCAGGAGTAGGTGCGTCTCCTCTGTCTGCTTCTACTCGTCTGTTTGGGGCCGAGGGGCTGGGAGGCCCCTCTGGACTCTGCAGCTGTGTGTCGGTGTATCGATGAGGACGGAGGAGACAATGCTGAGACTGTCTGAGGTTTCCTTGTGTTCCCGCCCTGATGGACTAAATTGCTATGGCAACAAGAGAGAATGTTCAAACACAGAAATACGGAAAACATAAAAATCACTGATGAGGTAAATAGTGATAAGGACGATTATATACAAGTAATGAGCAGCACATGAGGTAAACTTTGTGGGGCAGTAAATGTGTGTATGTGGAGACCTCCTCACCTTAGTGACGCCCTCTGGTGGAGAGGACTGGGGCCAGCTGCGGGACTAAGACGGCAGCTCTCTGAACCAATAAACCCACTGTCCGTCTCTGGAGAGATGATACCATCCTGCTCAACACAGAAGAAACATTAAACAACATTTATCTATACAGAAATACTCTTTTATAAATCAACATTAATCTTTTTTAACAAATCTCTGGCTCCTGTTTTGTACGTGAAATAAAACTGTGGCTTGTATACTGATTTCAAAAAGGAAAATCAGAGAAACAGAAAATATTGTGTAAGTCTGAGGTGTAGACTGCACATATGAATTACATAAGAGAAACATTGAGGTACTGTCTCGCCTGACCTGGAAATGTATGATATAAACTGACCTGAGAAAGTGTTCTGCTGCTCCCAGGTTGGAGTTTGGAGTTCCTCCTCTCTGATGCAGGAGTCTCTCCAAGGCTGCTCAAGCTGCTRCTGTGAAACTTCCCTCTCTCTAACCCCCTGTGGCCACTGGGCGGATGAACTTGGAGCGAGGTGGACGGACTCGAGGCTGCATGTGAAGATGGACTGGACCTGCTGCTC